TGGCGCACTATGGCTGCCGTCGCATCATCCAGGTGGGGCTGCACACTGGTGGTGGTGGAGGGGAGTCCCCATTACCTGTAAAGTGATTTGAATGGAGTGTCCAGAAAAGTGCTATATAAGTGTAAGCAATTATTATTATTATTATTATTTGAGTAACTATAGCACATGGAAATGTAGCTTAAAATGGGTTGCAGTAAACATTGTACTTTTAGGAGTCAAGATCTATTTTTCAGTGGAAAGATGAAATAATAATGCTTACGACAGTTTTTTCATCAGTAATGTCTTGCTATGGAATATGTGGTACTGGAGCCAGGACTGTGAAATTAAGGCACTGAAGGAGTGTGAGCAGCTTGTTTGAATATGTAAGTCCTGCTATTTGTAGTCGCAGGGTTTGAGAAAGATTTGAAAAGCTGTAGTTATTTTTGTGGCTAGCGTAGTGACTGATTTGATTGATCGACAGAGCACTATGTATTTATTTTCCCTTACAGATAGTAGTGGTGTGATTGACGTGACCTGTGGCATGCAGCCTGATTTTGGGAACATCTGAATCCGAGGTAGGCTCACCTCTCACACTGCGTGTGTTGCTGAGATGTCCAGAAGGGATGATGTGTTGCAAATTTGTTTTCCTGTGAGGGGTTACCCCCTGGTTGGTCAGGTTAAGTCAGTAGTGAATTGATTTGGCTTGTCAAGAGCAGACTTAGAATGAAAGCCTTCAGATTCACCAGATCTCCAGGATCAGGACTGGATAGCACCATGAGAAGATGAGCGAAGACAAATGCTCATTCAGATGAAGAGACCTAATAAATGCCATTCAAAGACTTTTGGGCATTTACATTAAATAAAGGAGCCACAGGGTCAGGGACCGTTGGGAGTTTATTCTACCCACTTTTGCCTGAGACGTGGGGGGCTTTAGTACAGGGGCCTGCAGCACGAGGTCTGTAGAGCTACAGTGCCTTTTGGTTTTCATTCCCGCCGCAGTTGGAATGACTTAACTGGATCAATCGGCTGCCTAATTAAGGAGAGTTAACACGCTTTCCAGCTCTCTGCTTATGAATTATTTAAGGCTACCTATAAAATCTGCAGCACTGCATCTCTCCAGGACCAGGTTTACTGACCTGTATAGTTGTGCAGGTCTTCCAGTCAATGAGTAGAGGGCTTATCAGTGTAAGTATTGAATAGAGGTGTTGATATTATGTATATCATAACACGCTGTAGCCTGATACCATTGCATCTCACAGGTTAAACAAGACTATGCCTGCTTAGTCCTTGGGTACAGAATTGATTTTATACCTCTATGGAGGAAAACAAAAAGATTGCCATTTTCAGTGGTGATAGATCAGTAGGTAGCATTCCCTGTCTGGATAAAGAATTTTGAAACCTTTAAAAAAATGTTCTAAACCTGTCCTGCTGTACGACATGTAAGTCAATGTCCTATAACTATGTCAAGATGGTAAATTAAGGTCCTGACTATGTAGTCTAATTGACATTGGTTTTTAAGACTAGGGATGATAACCCTCTTGTCCTGCCTTAATTTGATTTTGGGTTCCTCAATCTGGGCTACCTAAATTATAAGACTACTAATATTTGGACTACTGTTTATAAGAGAATACTAGAATTCTGAATGTGAATAGACCAGGGTATTAAGGCAGTGCACAGTAAGAAGAGAGATAAAGACAAGGCACAGTACATCTGGAACTGAGAATTAAGTGTTACAGTACATGGTCATGTAAGGTTTTTTGTGGTCATGTAAAGTTTTTTTTTTACAATTAACAATGAAGTATTTCAGAAATTACACAGCAATGTTACAGATGTTCTGTCAGAAAAAAATCAGAGGCCCTTGATTTTAATAAGTGATAAAGTTAACAAATATGCAAATACCTGAACAAGTGTGAAGTAATTGATTTGATACAGTAGCATTTTATTGTGTAGAATATCAATAAGGTATACAGTAAATAATGTCTGGAACTAAATTGATGGTCTTTGTTATACCACAGTTCTGGCAATATTTAAAAAAAGTTTAACATCAGACGTTCACACACAGAAAGCTACCAGGTTAATCTTCAAGACAAAAACCATACTCAAGTCTCCTGGAATTAATGTCCTGGTATCCAAATGACTTGGTGTACAGTAGTGAATGCACTTGATAATGCTTGTTTTTGGAGATTTGTCACTGATTGAACTCTGTTTATTTTCCCAGATGGGAGTGTTGGAGGACATGCTGAAAGATGGGACATCAGCTTGTGATGTGAGTTGGACCTCTATGATCCACATTTGCTTTCTAGTGTTTCAGCTCTTTCTTGTGGTCTTCTGACAAAGCAGCAGCACTCAAACATATCCTTATGACAGGGGGATATTAATGAGTTTCAATGTGTAGTGATGATAACAAGGTTAAAATGAGGTGTGGGAATGACTCGGGAACCAACCACTGGTAGAAATATGGACTTGCAAGGGGCCTAAGTAAAAAATACTCTCCACTTTAGAAAGATCATTCCTTTTACTTTATTAACTTACCTTTATAAGCTGGTAAGACACGTGTTGGCTCTTTGCTTCTCGGTTAAGAGATTTGACCCAGTGGCACAGATGTCAGAAACAAAGGCCTACAACCGTGCACGGTTGTCCTTTTTTTAAAGATTTAACTTTGTTTCATCATTTAAGGGATTTAAATATTTTCATATTAAGTTATGCATTTTTTCCCCTTAATTCCAGGTTCATACATACAATTTAAAATGAAAAGCCTGAGCCAGACAAAGATGTAGGCTTCTTTCACAGTCAATACGCACACAACTCGTCAGACATTTGCTGGAGGGTCTTTATTTCAACTTGTCAGGGTTTGCCTTGGAATTCAGTAATGTTTGGGAGCCTGTGTAACCACGGCTCCCCTTGGAACACTGTATTCAAACCACCCATACTGGTTTTGCACAAGGACTACATGGTTCGTGAACACCTTGTGAAAACATCACTAAAGTGTCTGAATGCATATGCTTGACCCTGGAAAAACAACACACAGCAGGGCTGCAAGTTACAATTCTGTATTGTGTACAGGAACAGTTGTTGTTACAAAATTGATTTACAAACTGCCTAACATCGCCACAAGTCAAGCCGTCTGCTACTCCATTCCTGCCATTTACATATGCACAGATTAAATATATTGCTGCCTATGCAAAGGCTTTGTCGTCAATTGTGAACTCCGCTCTTTGGAAACCGTCTACGTATATGGTGTCCAGGCCAAAAAAAAAATCATTTGGGAGTAGACACTTTTAACGTGTTGCTGCACATTCTACATAAAGCTTGTTAGTCTTCGCTTGTTGATAATACATCTGTGGTGGGATGAAAACATGGAAATCTGGGTTGTGTAACCTTTTTTTGTACATGAGCATGTATGTATCCAGAATGCATAACTGAAGCAAGCAACAACATAGAGTCAGGTTTATTTTGGCTGGGTGGTTTTGCATATTTTTCCCAAAAAAAAGGAACGAGTGGGATGGTAAATTATAGAAGCTGGATTCAGCGAATCAAGATGTTTGTCACATAGGCTTTCAAACCAAATTTTGGCATGCTTTCTTAAGAGTTTTCTACCAGGGAGCACAAGAGTCTTGAAGGAGGAGCGTGAGTGTTTTTCTGTCGTTACTGAGTGTTGCATAAAAAGCAGCTGATTGAAGTGATTGCCTTGTCTTCCCGTCACGGACTGGATGCTTTCACACTGTCCTGTCAGTCCCCGACCGCTTCCTCACCACTTTGCCCCCGTTCACCTGGTCCACGGCCAGCGTCTCCACCTCGGCGGGCGCGGGCGCGGGCGGGGGGGCCAGGTGGTGAATGCGGTGCGCCACGCCCACGTGCGCCCTGTGCTGCCTCTCCCGGGCGGGGCTGTGGTGCGGGCTGGCGGCCGTGCGCTCCGAGGCGATGGGCGGGATGACCGCCGGCCTCTCCTTCGG